TGCTGTGAGGAAATTGGTGTGAAGGTATGTGCAGTTCTGCTCTAAATCTGTTTTCACTTGAAAGACGGTATTTCTGCTTTTCAAATGAGGAGTTAGTAAAGCTTAACTGAGTAAAAAAGGCAGGGTGACTTTCAGCATCTAGGAAAAGCAGCTAAACTAGAAGCCTGTGATTTGGAGACAGTTACAGGTAATGCTGAGAGTGCCTTTAAGTGACATTCTGCAGAGGCAGATACATAAAAAAATGTAAGTGATGGCATAGTCCTCAAATGAAGCATTTTTGCACTACATCCTCCTCCCTTCTGAATTTATCCCTGTTTCTGTGGCTGTTGGGTGAACTAATAACATTTTTCATAGATGAAGAAAACAGCCTTTTTTATGAAAGTCCTAGTTGACCAAGATAGAATGTGAAGCCTAACTGATACATCTCATACATGGTAAATGATCTGGCTGTATCAATGGGCAGCAGTAATTGTCTGCACACTAGATTATAGTTCAAATGTACTCAAGAGTGGTTCAAGCTGCATTTACATCTGCATAGTTTCATCCTGACAGTTTAGTTACTCTTCTCTGAAGCACTTCAAACAAATCTCTTAGTTATTGTTTTTATTTGCTAAATAAACTTGTTCCATATTGTAGCCAGCTCTGGGCTTTCTGTGACTATGACATGCTGCCTTTGGAACAAAATTGTACATCAAGATCCCATTTCCATTCTTTAGAGGAAAGTCAAGTCTAAACCAAATTTAGCTCACTAGATACCAAGAAGAACTTGGAACAGAATATATGGTTTTCAGAATCTGTAAGCACTTTGAAACAGTATCTTTGCCTGAATTTCCCCTTCATACTTACCTAGTACTAGGTCTTGAACTTAATTAAGAAGTAAGGGCATATAGAAATTTGAAAGCATGGAAACAAAATAGTGGTAAAGAAAATGTAACCTTCATTTAGCCTGTGTTTAATTGATAGAAAACAAAAGTTGCCTCAAATTTACCAGTGTTTGCATCAGCTTGTCATGACTTTAGGGAGTATGTAAATTTTTTTTAGGCCAAATTTTTTTCAGAGTATGTGTAAAACCTAGTATTCTGTCAGTTGAGACTGAATTGGAATGGAGCATGTCCAGAGGAACACCAAGGAGGAAATGCAAAGTTGTTGCTGTCTACATGAATTTGCATTATCTCCGGTTCCATTGTATTGGAGAAGACTTATGTTTTTCTCTTCTCCATGGTTTGCCACTTGTTCATTTTCTTACTGTTGTGTAAATTACAGTGGCACCTTCTCCTCCCTCCAGAAATAGTGATGGAATTTTCCCTCATCTCTTGCAATAATGTAAAGCCTACTTGGAGGGCAACAGACTTAGTGGTTCTAAGGACCTTCTTAATGCAATCAGATTCACTACAGGATTTTATACAATCCACTTTCAGTCACCATATATTTTTGTTTATGGGTCCAGGATCACCACTTGAAGGAACAGACCTTAGCCCCGTTGTGGCCATGAAGAGGGCTGTTGGGTTAAGAAAATGTCTTTAAGAGAAAAATCGCCTAGTTAAAGTGGGTCCCACCAGCCATACTAGCACTGAATATACTGGCGTGTCAGGGCAGGTGTGGGGCAGTGGGACCGGGACGGACTTGAGTATGAGAGGAGCTTTGAGGGGAGGGGGCCGTGTGAAAAGGAGGCACAGTGCTTGCTGTGGGCCAGACCAAATGTTTTCAGGACATTCCCTGTCCCTGCTTTAAGCCTTCATGGACCCTCTGTGATGACATCGTGGCCCACCAGGGGTCTGCAGACTATAGGTTGAGAGCCACCAATCTATGTATTGAAAAGTTCTGTTTGTAAATTGTCAGTTTACACTGTACTTTTCAGTGTGCCTGGAGTTAGAATATGGTCTGTCCTTCTGAGGAATAGATAAAGCAATAGGTATACTTTGCCTTACCAGGATAACCAGGAAGCATAGTACAAAATTAGAGTACTACTTTGACTTCATTTCAGTCTTGCATTTTTTAAAAATAATACTATAAACTATTGTATGTCTATGCAAATTGTTCTTTTCTCCAGTATCCTCAACTCTTAGGAGTGTTTTGTCTGTCCCTCTTGTTTTTGTCCAAATAATTTTCCATTTATGTCTCCACCATTATAAAACTGTTACGAGCCTTTGTGCTGCTGCAATAATGGTGGTGACTGGGAGGGACTGTGAATAGAGAGATACTGATGAAAAAGTGGAAGGAACTCCTGATGAAAGTTTGCAAAGCGGAACAAACATTGCATGAGCTGAAACTGTAAAGTCCTGGATACTGGTGTGCGGTGTAGACATTTTGGACACGTTTCTTTTGTTAGGTGTATCTCCGTTATTAGAGTGTGACTTTGGGTTGTCGGTATAGCAGAAGAAATAAGATGTTATATGGAATGTTTGACTTAAGTAGTGAAGTTGTATCTTGGGAGCACAGTTCCATACCCTAATTTGATCCATTCACCTTTGCTAGGACATGTTGATACCTCTTTTGAAGTATGATGTGTATGCAGTGCTAACTGGATTCGGCTACTGACCTTACAAACTCGGTGTATGCCAGTGTCTAATGTCAGTAAGATTATAATTAAATTATCTTCTTAATATAGTGTTTTATTGACATTAATTCTTCTAAATAAAACCAGAATTTATACTGTTGAACATTTGATTGGTAAAAGAATTTTGAGAATGTTGCATAACATATCGTGTCCAAAAGAACTGCTTGGAGGCTTGAATTGGCCTGCACTGGCAACCTTGCCATTTGCTGTATTTGAATTCCTGTTTGCCCTGTTGCATAAGAGTAAATTAGGCTTTTGCCTTTTTCCAAAGTTGCTGTAAGTGATTGTATTAGTATACTTAATAGTATCCAGTTTGAAAGATCAATTCTATAAACTCTTTGTGTGTTCTATAGTGTTTTAATCCTTGCTTATGTAAAATTAATTTTATGTATAATATGTATGTACAAATTATTATGGATAATAAAATTATTTCATAGGTGACTCTCAGAAGATAACTTTATTTGGTAGAAAAGATAGTTTGGTGGCTAATGCAGAAGACTAAAAGTCCCCACAGATGTTTTCTAGGGCTTCATGTGAAAGATATTTGTTGTGTTGCTGTCCAGAATTGTGAACAACTTAGTGAAGCTGAGTATGTAGGTGACTTTGGACAGATATACCACGGGAGTTCCGCTGGATGTTACCAAATGTGTAAAGAGTCAGCAGAAGTGAGTGTGCTGGCTCCTGGAGCTCACAGCTCAGAGCCTGTCATATTCATGCAAACTTAATTTCTGGCATTGACTTTTTCAGCCAAACCAGATAAATATTCTAGACTTCCTTGTTTCTGACCTGGAATTCTCTTCACAATGCAGTGGTTTTCTAGAGAATTATTTTAACTTTAATTACATCAGTGATGTAGTTGACAGGACAGTCCTGCAAATGGTTGTACTTGTGCAAGTAAAAGGAAGGTAAACTGTGGTGTTGAGAAAAGCTGGACTAAGACTTTATTAGCACCAAACAAATTTGTGTGTGTGGCTACATCCTTTGTCTCTAAATAGATAAATGCTGAAGTTGATTCAAAGTTCGACCAGGTAGCTATTATTCTTTACATGTTTTATCATTAATTTCTTTCCTGATCTCTACTGGGACAGGATACTGTTTATCATCTGTCCCAGTAAAGTTTTTAATATGTTTTATCATGCAGTCTGTCAGCTTTGCCTTCATTATACAAGTGATGGGTGATGCACTGACTCCCAGAAAGAATTTAGAGTGGCCACAAGGTTTCAGTGTTTGAGTGAGGTTTGAGTTGAGGATAAAAATCTACATAACTGAGTTTGTTTTTCAGAGAAAGCAGTCTCTTAAATACATACCTAAAGACATAGACCTTTTAGTTTGAAACTTCATCAAAAGAAAAAAATTAAACAATTGATACTTTATTTATTAGTTTGTGCTAGTGGCTAATCATTTTCACTGAAAAAAAAAACCCAAAGTAAACTGATGAATCAAAGAAGGGGCTGGGATTCAGCTATCTAAAATAATATGTAGAAACTGTCTTTTTTTTTAAATCCAGACTTAACAGACTTTCAGCTCATTGGGAATCCAGAATAGTGTCTGAGGGGAAAAATGTTCCTATTAAAATGTAACTTTGTTAAAATAGTTGTTGTTCCACAGTGTACTGTGATGCTGTAATTAGTTCTTATATTAGATTAAATGAATCCTCTGTATGGAGAGGGTACACTTACTTGCAAATGTCCATCCTGTGAGGATAATTTAAGAGTGTTTTTTGTATCCATGAAACTGCAAAGACCTATTTTGACTACTATCTCATCAAAATGTTAAAGTGGTTTGTGTGTTGCTTACTGCTCTCTAATGCTGAGTAACCTTCCCTAAATGTTTTCTTCTCTACGTATAGTGGTAAAGGCATATATTTGAGGTGAGAAGGGGAAAATAGAGCAAAGGCATGAATTTTTTTGTTTTTCTTAGATATCTTGGTCTTTCTTAGGTCAAAACCTTTTATTTAATTGGTTTCTTATGTTACTTTATATATCACTGTGCATACTGAAAACTTCTGAAGATCACTGAGAAAGGCTGTTTCTACTGTATGTCACACTAATTGAGAAATCCTGTGGAAACATAAATGGCTACTCAGGATCACTTGAAACATGCGTTTACATTTTTTTCAACCTCTGTCCAACCTCTTGTTCCTCAGTTTTTCCCCAGTTTCATGCAAGCAATATCCTGGTGACTGCATTCCCTACCAAGAACAGTTCAAACTTAAACTTTAAGACTTTGTTATAGCTTGTCTTCAACTTTGAAATGTATAGTAAGATAAACTTTTTAAATACATTACAGGTTACAAGGGCACAAAAGCAATGTCAGTATGCACTAAAGGATGTTGACTTTTGACTGACATAGTGCTCTCAACAGTAAAAAGATTTGATCATTATGGTTTCCTTCTCTCTATTTAATGGGCTACTTATGGATCTGTGTTTGTTCTTTTCCTCAGATATTAGGATTAAAGAAGAGGAGCCTGATCCAGAAGAGTGGCAGCTCAGTGGTGATTCTACACTGAATACCAATGATCTAACACACCTGAGAGTACAGGTAGTAGATGAGGAAGGGGACCAACCACATCAAGAGGGAAAAAGACTGCGACGAGTAGCTTGCACATGTCCCAACTGCAAAGAAGGTGGTGGAAGGTATGAAATGTTCAGTGTCATATAGTGCATGTAATGATGAAAACAAATGAGTGAGGAAAAAATGAGCCTTAGTTAACGACAGTTGTCTGCAGTGAGAGAAAACGAGAGGCTTATGCAAAAGAGCTTATGCAATAAAGGACTGCCACTTTTATTTCTGGATTTGCAGATGGATGGGCAGATTATTCCATCCGCTCTGAGTTACTCCACTGAGATTAATTGGAAAAATCTTGAGTAAGATGCCACCTAGTACAAATGAGTGGGATAGAACATTGCCCTAAATAATATGAAAATGAAATATTTTGGAATATGCACATCCGTGATTTGCTTCCTATCACATGTCAAGGACTTGATTAAATCCTGTGTTCCCACATTTCCTCACTGATTGAGCATTTTTTCCCCACAGTTTGATTTCTTTAGGGCATTATAAAATACAGTTATCCTGGTTTTCTTATTCACTGTTTTCCTAAGAAAAACAAAGCTTGTATAATAACTCTAAATATCAGAATTCGAGTTGACATTAGTTTCCGTCAAAGTTAGTGGAGATTTGGCTAACAAAATGGCACTAAGTTCCAATTCATATAAAACTTCAGGGCTGCACAGGAAGCCGTGTTTTATTATTCTCCATCTCATTAAAGTATTCTTCAGCTTTTTGTTATTATAAAGATTTTATTCTATTCCAAAACACTCATTTTAAATATCTTCATTATGGATATAAGAGTGGAAGTGGGGATAATAGGCCAGCTTTTACAAGTGAAAACACTTAGTTGTGTTTGTGCTTGACATAATTGTGCAGGGGCTTCTTTCCAGTACACTGAAATTTGTCCATTTTGATAATAGCTTCTTCTGTAAAATGGAAGTCTTTATTTATGTGATAACTATAGTGTAAATTACTGAGTTCTCTTTTTAAAGAACCTGTCAGTGTCCTATGGCTCTAAGAGTTTTAATAGTACTGACTGAGTATGTCTATTGTTAATCTCTTGGAGGTTTTGCTGTATGTTCTCTATACTTTCTTTGCAAGCATGGAGAGGTATTATTTTAGGCAGCCATGCTGAGTAAGTATTAAGTGTTTAAGACAAAGCCAGTTTCATATATTTACATCACAAATGAAGCTAATGATAACTGCAGTTAAGGTTATATACCATCTTTGTCCATCAGCTTCCTTTTGTTAAGTTTCTGTGTGTAGTTCACTGAAACCTGGCACAGACATTTCTAAGTTCTTGGTGAAACTTGGCTCTGCCGTAAAGATCTGTCCATCCTGGGTTGAGGTTTGCTTCAGTCTGGGAGAAAACTCTTGAAAATGTAATTTGCACTGGCAGTACTCTTAGGAAACAGAGAGATTTCACATTTTCCATCTTCCTTGTGCTCTATTACAAACTACAGTGGCTTGAATTTAGAGATCTATTTACTTTAAAATCCTCTTCCTCCTAAATGAAGTTGGTGTAACACCAGATTTTAAAGTTGAAGCCCAGGAAAGAATTTTGAGAAATGGTTTTGATGAAGTCTGGAGAAGAGTGTAGTCTGACTGAAACTTGGATACAGGAGTTTGGGAAGTTGAGAGAAGAGCTACGACAGAGTTGTTTGTTTAGTGCTGCAATTCTGAGTTTTGATTTGCTTTTCAACTCTCTGGATGTCTCATGGAGTTTTAGATAATGGGACTTTTTTTAAATTTTTTTTTCTGTGTTTCTTCAGATAGCATTCACAAATCTTAAAATGACATCAAGGTTGCAAAATTGAAAACTTGAAAGTTTGCAAATGCCAAAGTTAAGACATCCTGAGCAACTTTAATGTAATCCCTTCTGTGTATGCATTATCATTTGGTTTCTAATTACATGGCTACATACTAGTCTTTTTCAAATGACCCCAGTGCTGTTCAGTGGATGGGATGGATGATGCACAGGGAATGAATCAGGGCTGTGCAATGATTGGCACCTGCTTCACTTATTGCAGAAATTGGAAGGCATTTAGGGAATGAGATACGGGACTACAGCAACAGGGCTCTGAAGTTTTGGAGGTGTTTATCTATCCACCCCACGTTTTCCACTGCAGAAGTACTGAGTTCATTCCCGTAAAGAAGTTGATTGAGCTGAATTGTGAACTTCTGCAGTACTCTAAGAAAATATGCTTCTGCTATATTGAACATGACACCTCAGGCTGGTGGGTGTTTGACAATTTTGGCCTTAATATCTTTCTACCTCATATTTGGATATATGAAATGATTGTACTAGTTCAGTTCACTACACAGGAGTGTTGCAAGGTGATCAAATTATTGTTTGTGAATTGCTTAGACACTGAGTGTTGTGAGTACCCATGATGTGGAGAAAAAACCCTGGGGAAATGAATAATTATGTATTCAAGATAGTACTTAAATAATAAGCAACTAGTAAGACAAGCAAAGCATGTTAAATCAGTATGAAAAAGATTAATACCATTTCACTCAGTGAATACTACCCCTCTATGCACTTGATGAGGTAGGAAAAGGTAGTACATGGCTTAACATGCAGACTTCATCATAATTTCATCTTTTGCATAGTCTTAGTTTTGGCATTTCTTGTCTTTTCTGTTTTCTGTGTGCAAAGGGGAGTTGAGCAGTTCTTTCCATTTTTTTGTTGTTGACTTTTGTATGGTTTTTTTGACTTGATACAGAATTAGACTACATTGCAGTCTTCAAAGGATTTCTGTTTGTATCAGTCCTGTGAAGTAGGAAGCCACTATTATCTTTACTTGGCAGGCATGGAGGGTAGGAAAGGAAGAGGATGACGTATTAGATTTGAAAATAAAAATCTTATCGCCTCAAGCTTTATATAGTAAAATGAGGGATAAGCAAGTGTAGAGAGACATACATCTCAAAGGATAACTCTGATCCCAAACAGACTTAGTTAGGATGTCTGAAGTTAGGTGGAAAGTTCATCCTCCTCTCAGTTACATCTGGAATTACATTGAGATGTAACTACTACTGTCTGGATCTATAGAGGAACAGTGCTTCTGAGTACCACTTCAGGTACGTAACTTTAAAATACACATTTATAAAATAACTAATAAGTGTATGTTTTATCCTTGAAATACTTGATGTTCCTCCTGGAAGGACTGCTGGACCAAAAGTCCAGTTTCTCAGTGGATGAAGGTGTCTCCTGCTGAAACCATTGCATTCTGTGTGGTTACTGAGAAATGTGGTTTCCAATCTTTATAAAGCCAAAATTTACTATGAAAATAAATATTAATTGATTTGAAGACTCCAGTCAAGAAGTAGGCCTGAGTCACATCCTTTTACTCAGTGATGGTGGTTATTGGCCAGTGCAACAAGAAAGGCCTCTTAACATGACATGTTAGGTCATAGTGCCAGACTGTCACAGCTGCAGAGCGTCCAGATAGAATTTGGTCCTATCCAGTCAGTTTAGAGCACACATGAAACAAATGTGTAGATACCTATATGAAGCTGTGTAGAATAAATACAATTAGTTACCTGTTCACAGTAGTCTTGTCGATTTCATTCTGTGAATCCCTAACTTGCCCCTCACTTTGAACACTGGAGTCTGCTATGGAATTCTGTCACAAGTTAGGTGAGATGCTTAAAATTACATATGCTATACCACCTATGCTGACCGTGAGTTGAACCTTGGTTTCCTTCAGTCTAGACTAAAGGTGCAATTAACCTACTTCAAACAATTTATTTTGGAATTTTAAAATTATTCTGGGGGAATTTGATGTGATTTCATGTCATTTGTGTCATCTATTTACTGTATTAGGCAAACTTAAAAAATATTTGTACTGATTGTGGAAGAGAAGACTGTAGTATATTTGGAGAAGGTGTGAGGATGAAATACCAAATACAAAAAAATATTCTGTGTACAGAAATGTATTCTCAAGTGCAGAAATACATTTTGTTGTAATAAACATAGGCTGGGCACTTCTTAGGGTTACATGGAATTGGACAGGCAGTTAACACAGGATAGTGGGATTCTGTGGAGAACTTTCAGTTACCAAGACTGTATAATGGAGAAGAGCCATGTGTGTTCCTTTGACTTGCACCACAATTGCTGGATAACTTGAGCCACCAAACAAGAGGACCTGAAGAAGAGCTGTCTAGAACTGAATCATTAGATGAAAATGAGCATAGAGCCTGAGAACTGTGGAACTGGTTGCAGTAAGGCGAAAGGAGGAATACAGAAAATTTCTTCCTTGGAGTCTGGGTAGCTGGGTGTTGTGGGCTGATAGATGAATGCCACTGGAACTGTTAAAGGTACAGTGAGTTTTGTCTGGTGACCTAGCTGTTTGTGGAGGCTGAGAAACTAAAAAAGAAAGGGGTCAATCTAAAGACATTTTGATAAATGCCTTTGAGATGGGCTGAATGTTCAAAACTTGTGAGTACTGAGCTTTTGTGTAGGTGGCATAATACAAAGTTAAATGACTGACAGTACAGTTAATTTTGCATTTTAATCTTGGCTTGAGGGAAGGCCATGGAAGAGTGTGAACCTGAGAGTCTAGATATAGCAAAGGCTACCAAAAATGGACATTTCAGCTGAGGTAGGTGAGGTAGGGTTGTTAGGTGTTGGAATGGGCTGCCCAGGGAGGTAGTGGAGTCCCCATCCCTGGAGGTGTTTAAAGACTCGAGTCGACATAGCGCTTAGGGATATGGTGTAGTTGAGACAGGTCAGTGTTAGGTTAATGGTTGGACTAGATGATCTTTAAGGTCTTTTTCAACCCAGATGATTCTGTGATTCTGTAAAAAGCGCAATATTTGTCCTGGTCCAAAGAACTGATCTTCTTTTGGGACACTGAAAAAGGAAAATTAAATCAGAAGTGTTCTTGCCAAGACTGCTAATGATGGAAGAGCTTAAGATATCAGGTCAGAATTTTTTGTATGAATTTATAAACAAACTGGATAAAACAGGCAGGTGGACTTTCTGTGAGGCTAATGATTGAGGGGTGGCAATAAAACAAAAAAAAAAAGAGACAAGTAAAATCTGTTCTGTCACCATACCCATACTACCACAGTCTCCTGGTATTTATCAAACACATACAATTAATGTATATGTCTCTTTTCCCAGTTAAGTGAAGGTGGCCCGTCCACCTGTGGCCAGTTCAGGAATTGATCACCAGAGTCAGTAATTGGTGATAGTCCTTTACTGATACTATGACACGTCATGATTGGTTGGGTGAAGAAATTCCCACTGTATTGTCATAGCCGGTAGTTAGCAACTGTAACTGTTAAAAGCCTTCTTGACACTCTACTTCTACTGCCATCGAATTTGTTTTGAAATCAAAACCTACATTGTCATGACAAATAATCAGTATGTAGAAGTGATAGTTTTTTCTTCTGAGACAAAATTACTAATGAAGCACTATGAAGATCTCTCTATATTGAGACTTCTTTGAAACATTTTCTAGGACTTAACTGGATTTTGTCTCCTTTTCTGGACTGTCTGGAATGTTTTAGATGCATATGTGCTATGGTTGGAATTCCCTTTAGATGCTGTGAGTTTTTAGACTGAGTTAATTTCTGTGCCTGTTGAGAAATGCTTGCTTCCAAGTGCTAGCTCCTTAAAGTGTATATACCCTGAAACCTCATTAGATGTAAACCAGAATTGTTCTGAATGCAGGGATAAGAATCTACATCTAATAGTTGCTAGGCAAATCCTTCAGCCACTAGATGGTTAAGCAGAAGTTCAACACCCAATTTAAGGAAAAAAATTTGCCCTGGGGAGGCAGCTGAAAATTGTGTAATCGGTCATGGAGGATGGAGTGCCTAAGACTGATTTCAGAATCCACTTAATCTGTTCTAAGTTAACACTGCTGATGAATAAGGTGGCCTGATGCTTGGCTGCATTTTCCAATCTCCTCCCTTGTACCGGCACTTACCATGCATATAGCTGCATTGTCAGCCAGATCTTTTCCCTCGAGTACCCCTTTCAGCAGCAGCAAACACTTAAATTGGCTAAAATCAATCATGATGCCCTGTGCTTGCCAGACTGATCTCTTTCTCTGGGTCTTCAGAGACTCTGACCCCTCTCTGGTGATTTTATTTAAAAAAAAAAAAAAGTTAGGCGTTTGTGTTAGGTGTTTCCACTGAATCAAACACCTACCTTTTCAGTAAGGCAGCATCTTAAAATCAGCATCAAGCTCAGTAATCTGGATTATACTACCTGTGAATCTTGATGGATTTTTTTTTTTTTTTCTGAAATATCAAGGAATTAATTTAAATGTTAGCAAGATCAGCTTGTTTCACTGGCACTCCTTTTAGTGGAAATACTCATGTTAGTATGCTTGTCCTCCAACACCAAACTGCTTCTCAGGTTTCCCCAAGTTGCCAAAAGTCCCATCTGCTCTCTTGCTAGTTGCCAAAATCTCCAGTTTTCTTTTTGGCAATTGCAGAAATTTGTGTTTTTCTTCGCCAAAATTGTCTTTGGTATGGTAAAAACTGAAACTGGGAGAAATTTAAAATATGGGCACTTCAGCATCAAAATAGTACAAACTGTTGTAATGACTGTATTATAACTTCATATACATGTATGCTTGCTAAAGATTACACTTGTATCATTTAAATATCACATGCTGTTGAATTTATAGTTAGTTGCAGAATTGGGATAGCATTATAGAATTTAGTTCCAGCTTCTTATGGAGTGTACTGGACGCTGTATTTGAAACAAAAATGGGAAGCTTCTCAGGTTTGTTTGCAGATCTATTAGTATATGTAACCCCACTTATATGTATGACCAGTATTTAGGAGGAAAGTATTAGAATTAATCACTTCTCCTTTTGTTTTTGTTTTTTTTTTTAACAGAGGCTCCAACTTGGGAAAAAAGAAGCAACACATTTGTCACATACCAGGGTGTGGCAAAGTGTATGGGAAAACTTCACATTTGAGAGCTCATCTCCGCTGGCATTCTGGAGAGCGTCCATTTGTTTGTACTTGGATGTTCTGTGGCAAAAGGTTCACTCGCAGCGATGAGCTTCAGCGACACCGAAGAACGCACACAGGTTTTCAGTCTTTGATTTTGGTGCATTTAACTAAAGATGTGTCATGGAGAGAGCTGAAATAAATAACTTATAAGAGGAGAACAGATCTTTTTATTGGATTGATTTTAATGTAGTGTGACTTCAAAAATCAGCTAATACTTAGAGCTACACTTTGATTTCTTTGATAGATCTGAGAAGGAAAAACAGCTACCCTTTTTGATTCAGAACTGACATTTAAGCTAATATTTAATATAGTTTAATCAGAATACTTTATTCAAATTCAGCAATGCATTTAATTTGTCTGAACCAGATTAGAACTGTTGGTCCAGCTTAAAACTTCCAATAAAAATAGAGGGCTAGATGTCCAAAGGATTAGATGCCATTGACAAAATCAAGGAAGAGCATGTAATAGTGCATCATTCTACATCTTTTAGTTTCATGGTTAGACCATCCATTAGGGACTCCATGTTCACATTTCTCCTTTTGTCTAACACAAAGAAAAGAAATTAGTGTATATCATCCACCTAAGGACAGTTTGTTTCAAATCTGTTGTCTCTATTACCTGTTTTCCTACAAACTGAATCCCTAATTGCATTCTACAGGATGCTTACATTTTAAAATTAGACTATTTGAAAAACTCAATGACAATAGATATATAATTTCTGTGCTTATCATCATTTACATTGCTTAGAAAACTGTCTTTGCAATGTCTATGAAAAATACTTCATGTTTTGTACCTAATGATGTGCTTTTCTTAGACATGTTGGATGCTTGAACCCTAGCTGGGATGTTATGGTCTCTCTGGATGGACAGCCAGATGGGTTTAAAAAAGAAGAGGCTGGTTGAATGATCTAGCTTGGGGGGGTATGGTTAATGGCTCCTAGTGTACCTGCATGCCAATAAAAAGTAGAGAACTGCAGGGATTTATACTTTGACCTCATAAACATCTTAGTCGCTGACCTGGAGGAGGTGACAGAGTACACCCTTCTTAGGTTTGCGGCTGACACCAAACAGGGGCGACCGGTCATTGCATTTGAGGACAAGGCTGCTATTCAGAGGGAATAGGGCTGAAGGAATGGGCTGACAGGAACATTATGAAATTCAGCAAGGATAAACGCAAAGTACTGCACCTGGGATGGAATTAACCCATGCAACAGCACAGGATAAGCACTGACATGTTGGGTAACAGCTCTACTGCAAAGTACCTGGAAGTCTTGATAGACAACCAGAACATGAGCAGAAGCCAGCAGCAAAGATGGCTGGGGCTTTATCAACAGCAGCAGAGACACGAGTTCTAGGGAAGTGATTATCCCCTTCTTAGCACTGGTTAGACTGCATCTAGAATATTACATCTAGTTTTCAGCCCCAAATATATAGGAAAAGCCTTGTTCAACAGGAGTGAGTTCACTGAAGGGCTACCAAGATGATCAGGAAGCTGGAATGTTTGCCTTATGAGGAAGGGCTGTAGGAACTGGGCTTATTCAGCTGCACAAAGACAACAGTAAGGGCAGGGAGGAGCTTAATAGCAACCTTCTAGTATCTGAAAGACCACCATTAAGAAGGCAAAGACAGACTTCTCATGGTGGTGCATTGGTGGGAGGATGAGAGACAACAGATGTAAGTTGCAAAGAGAGTTCAGACCAGATATAAAGAAAACCTTCTTCACTGGGAGGACAGCCAGGCACTGGAACAGGATACGCACAGTTTCTGCAGTCTTCATCCTGAAAGGTTTTCAAGACCAAACTGGATAAATTCCTGAGCCACCAGGTCTGACCTCATTGCTGAACCTGCTTAGAGAGAGATCAGACTGGAGACCTCCAGAGGTCCCTGCAAACCTGAATTACTGTAATGATCTTGTCTGTCAGTCTCAAGTGTGACTCTGCAGGAGCTCGGTCTTCCCTGTCCGTCATTTGGCAGGTTTGGTTCTCCTCTTAAAAGTTATTTATTGGTAATAACTGCAGTGCAACTTAGCAGCCTAAGGATATGAGATGACAGTGTTCTTTAGCTTGCCTGAAAGATCTTCTCAAACTCCATGAGACACAGAAAAATAAATCAATTCTTTTGAAGGATTTATATGAGTCTAGAAATTTAACGCGTTTATCATGTTGGATCATTTTTTTTCCAGTATAGATGTTAGAATTCTGACTCTGAAAGGCAGTAAGTTATCCCAGTTTTTGGTGTACATTTGATATTTTTAATATTCTTGAAAACATGTTTTTTTCTTGTCTTCTGTGACAGGTGAGAAGAAATTTGTCTGTCCAGAATGTTCAAAACGCTTTATGAGAAGTGACCACCTTGCCAAACACATTAAAACACATCAGAATAAAAAAGGTATTCACTCTAGCAGTACAGTGCTGGCATCAGTGGAAGCAACACCTGATGATACTTTGATTACTGCAGGAGGAACAACACTTATTCTTGCAAATATTCAACAAGGCTCTGTTTCAGGAATAGGAACTGTAAATACATCTGGCACCAGCAATCAGGATATTCTTACCAACACTGAAATACCTTTACAGCTTGTCACAGTTTCGGGAAACGAGACAATGGAGTAAATATTACACAAGATACCTATTAATTGTGGTTATTTTTATACAGTAGTGAGAAGAATATTGTTCCTAAGTTCTTAGATATCTTTTTATTGATGTGCAAAAATTTTTGGATTGACAGTAACTTGGTTATACATGACACTGAAATGCCTTACTTTGTATGATATTCCATAGTATATTAAAATGGTAAAATTGCATGGGTTTTGTAGGTACTTTTGGAATCTAGAAGAGATGAAATTTTACCAAGTTATATTAAAAAAAAAAAAGAATTTAACGATGGAAATGGTAGTCTAACCAAATGCATCAATCCTGTGTGGTTTAGTGTAAAAAAATGAGAACATGTTGGTATTTATCTATTGTAAGATAAAAGAAGTTGATGGGTGAAAAGAAATCATGTTATGATAAAAGAAATTTTGTAATTTTCTTGATGACTGGAATTTTTATTATGCATAACTGACAAATCAAGTTTCCAAGCAAATGTTACATAGTGTAGGCTTTACTTAGCTCATCAACTTGTCATTTTGAAGCTAATTATTTTAATTAGGTTAACTATGTACAATATTTTAAGCATTACTCTTGTAAGATTTTGAAAACTACATTTTAACATGGAACTCTAGGGATAGTCACCTTTTAAATCCTATTGAAAAGCCATGTTTAAGATTTAATTTGCCAAAATGATGTCTTGTTAATATTCTTTCAGTAACCAAGGTGGGCAATATAACCAATGTTTAAAAAGCTTAAAATGTTAAAAAAAAAAAAAATATGTATAGGTTGAGGCATTTGGGTGGTAAGGCAAATGTTATAGTGAAGTATATCCCTTCTTTTGAACATTGGAGGACCAAAAATAAGGTGTATTGCGTCTCAGCAGTGATTTTTATCAAATCTTTTTCCAAAAAAACATCTGTCTGCCAGGGCCTTAAAAGCCATCGTGTAAATTAACAGTAAAATACAACATATGCAAATACAACAGAAAAAATCACTTCCATATTGACAGTACTCCCAAACATATGGATATAGTCATAGTGAACTAGGGGTTTTATGAGGTTTTTATTTGTTTGTTGTTTAGTTTTTGGTTAGTCAATCTGCATTTAAATATCAGCCATCTTTTCTTTTTTGCTTCTTCCCTTAAAAATTGTATGTATCCAGTACATTTAACTGATAAACATATATGTTTTTTATTATGCTGAATTTTCTTTTTATTTTTTAATTACTGTTTATATTTTCAATTATAGAAAAATGTACAAAATGAAGTTATATAGCCAGTCTGTAAGTGCTATACCATTTTCAAAAAATGTACAACAATAATTACTGCAGTTCACCTATTTACAAACATTTGGAAATCTGTTCATTTGTTATTCTTAAAACCACCTCAAATTTAAAGGCTACCTTATTGTACGTTTAAAGTGTATTATAACAGTGTGGTAGTTAATAAAACACTATTTTTTTTTTTCTTTTGACTTGAGTTTACTGTACTTCTTGTTAACTAACAGTGTAATTTCATAATACATCTTGATAGTCTGAGATGTTTTATTATTTTGTGCTAGATGATGGGAAGTCGAAGTAGTGTTTCCTTTCCTTGTATGATAATACACCACCTCCTCACTCTCAAAAAATCCCTCCCTCTGTGTGTGCATGGATATGCATGTGCTATATACTATGTTGGTGTAGTGGTAACTTTTTTGACCTTATGTTGAGCAGGGTGTGAGGGAAATGTAGGACCTATCCTATAGAATATGAAAATGAAGTTGCATTTAAGTCCTCTGACACTTAGATGTCACAATACAGCCAGTCTTGATAGGGAACTGTGGCTAAAAGGGATGTTTTAGATGGAGTAAGAAAGACTAATGAGAACTGTGAGATTAAAAAGTGTGATGGTTGTATATTACACTGTCATGAAAGTGAAAAGCTTTTATTTGTGAAGTCTAAAGTCTTAAGAGTATCAAATGGCCAGAGGATGGACCAGGGTAACGTAGGATAAACTGGATAGAGCTCAGCCTAGGAAAGAGAACTGGACAAAGTCATGGAGCGATTTTCTGCATTTGCAGTTTAGTGGAAAAAAAGTTTAATGCAAATCTTTTGAGATTCAGAGCAACAGGAATTGACAGGTACAGAGAAAAGGGAGTTAATTCATCAACTTAATCTTCTGTTTACTGAAATAAGAGAGTGAAATTGGTTGGTAATTCAAAAGAGCAGCAGCTTGGGAGAGAAGACAGTTCTGCTTAGACTTGTGACATTCCATGGATGTTGTCAATATTTTAACATACTCTGAATCCACTTCCTTTAGACAGGTGAATGGGCTTTGTTTTCAAAAGCTGTCTTAGTTCACAAAGCATGTTAGTATAAATTACTTCCATTTCTAATACTTTGCTTCAATTTCTAATACTTTCTAATACTTTGTTTCTCATCTCTGTAGCCATTTGTAGGTATGTTAGTGCATTATTTTAAGAGGGAGTTAAAAGGGCTACTTTCTTAATGAAACTTGCTTTTTAAAGGATTTCTGAAACAACACTTTCACTGATGTTCATCTGTGGATGAAGGTGTTTTGGTGCCAAGGGTTTTGATGCCTCATTGTTGAAGATGAGATTGCTTTATTTCTCAAAACTTTAATGCTCAGTACATCAAGTGGTTACTTTAATGTTTAGGTGGCACTTTCTTAAAAAAAAATATTTTGTTGCTAAGATACTAAAGAAGGTAGAAGTTTTGGAAGAAAGTAACTCTGGAGAAATGTGTAGGAAAAAGTATTATGGAAAGCCTGCTGTCTAAGGTCCATCTGCCTCAGTGGTTGTGTTGAGAACGCTGCTGTGTGTGTTCACACGGTGCATGACAATGATTTTTGAAAGATCTCTGCTCACCTCCAGGGCAGAGGTTCATGAGCCCAAATATAAGATCTTTGGTATATCTAGGATTGTTGCTACCTCATGGCTTTCTTTTGTGGTCACTCTAGCAACTCATATGATACCAAGACAAAATTGTGCATTCTGTAGAAGGCTTTGAGGTTTATCTGTGAATCAGTTCTTCATGGATTCCTGATGGTGGTTGCTTGGTGTGCTTCTTGCTTCTTACTGATACAATCTGTAGCATTTTACACATTTATTTTCATGTCAGACTTCCTCACTTGTATAGTTTCTTGGTATGGTAGACTTTAGATGCTTGGATGGTTTGTATCACTTGCAGTCTGATGTAATCGCTAATTAAGAAGCCCTTAAAACTGGTTCTGCAAGAGAGCATGAGCTTGAGAGCAGCCTATGTTATCAATTTCAACAGTCAGGGTAATTATTTTCTCCAAGTACAAGGCCTGTACGTACACTTGCTATAATTTGAGTGTTCTTGGGCTCGTTCCTGAATCAGCTAATGGTTTGATCCTTGTAAGTTACAAACTACTACCAATTCTTGCAGAGAACAAGAGGTTTTAATCATTACTGCTTACCAGGCCAAGAGGTAATATGACTAAGGAGAATGATATAATCACTGAAACACTTGTGAGGGACAGGATTTCTAGTTTCAAGGTTCAGATTTTTCCTTAGGGAGGGGAGTCCACAGAGCTCTTCTTTCAGCTTGTCTGAACAAGATTCAAATATCAGGCTTTGGTTTGAGTGTTTTGAGATGCTGGAATAGAGTAAGGTAAGCCTTTCCAGTGGCTTCAGGAAAGCTCTGATAAGTTGTTCTGGCTGTTGGGGAATGAGGGAATGGAGCTAATTGTCATCTGTCAAGTGGTTCTTTGTTGCTTTAAGTAAAGAACTAGCGAGCAAATGACTGTCTTTCCTCCAGCTTTTTACCACCACCATTACCACCATAAGAAGTGCAAAGCATGCACTGTAGAACAGGGCAGAAGAAGCTGACGTGACTGACTCAGATCATATCTGGCAGATGATATTTTCTATAAAAAGACCACCTCCATTCGATGCCCTAGAATTGCTGTTCATTGCTACTTCAGTATATTCTGGTGTATCTTTCCTATATCTGTATCTGTAGGATGTCTGCTAGAATCTTAGTCAGATGTGTAGGTGCTTTATGCAGTCTCAAGCATTGCTCCAAATATGATCAGTAATTTATCACAAGAACCTGTGACCACACCTCTTCCTGTCAGTGAACAGTGGTCTGTGAGAGCCTTCCACCTCTCTTGTCCTGATACGTTGGTCCTTCCCAATTCCTGAGATGTCCAAGAGGCCGCAGGCAAAACAAATACCGAAAGGTAAGAGTAAAAAGCTCTGGATTGTGATTTGGGGGGTTTGCAGCAGTGCAAAGATTCAGGTTGTCTGTTTGCTTGGAATTGTGCTGCATGCCTTTTTTGCACAGTGTCTCAGCCTTTGTGCTTGGAAAATAACTATAAAATGTGTACGTAATTTTTAGGTACACAATTCATGAAGTACTGTGTTGTATATAAGATTTACATACATTTTTCTGTTGGCGGGGGGGGTAGTATGTTATTTGAAGATCCTTTGTTTTCACCCAGAAGCTGGAAATGTTCCTGCCAGAGAAAACCTATCCTTCATTTCAGTGGTAAATCTCCACTATCTGGCAGTCATAGCTATCTACAAACTATGTTTAGTAAATCCCTTAGTTTAGTGGTCATTGGGACCTAAAATTGACCATAAAAAGAAAGTTTAAGGTTTGTGTATTTTGAAATTAAGGAAAACATACAGTCTGCAAAGCAATAATACAAATATTTTCTGATCACCCTGTGCTACCCTTAATGTTTCTATTAGGGATTGTTTCAATTTTCCATACCAGTGGCGTACTGGTGGTTGGCATGAGGTTGTTCGGTGTTCCAGTTTCTCAAAGATTAAAACAAAAGGAAACATTTTATACAACAGGTTCTACATATGTTTCTTTCTTTAATCTTGAAGGTAAGAAAAGTAATTTCTGACTCAAACCAGAGAGTCTCTTGTGTAATTTTAGAGCTCACTTTCGCATCTTGACACTGACCAAGCCCTTGTCCAGACAAGTTGGTACACATTCTCAAGCCCTATCATTGCTGACTTGGCAGAAGAATGGTCTGAAAATTATCTGCAAGGAAATAACCTTCTCTCCCCTGCTGCGCTTTCTCTTTAGTTGAAAAGCCCAGTTGCACAGATTTTGAACTCAGCATGAAATGGGTACTATCAGGAAAAGGTTCCAAAGCAAAACTCGGAAGTATTACTGTATTTCCTGTTCCCTCTGAAAGCTCCAATCTTGGGCATGTTAGTGGCATGCCTACAGATAGAACAAGATTTACATCTTTATATATCTTAAAATGAACTTGCATTTTTCACAGAACTGCTTGAAGAACAATTCCTTTGCAAGGATTATAAACAGCTAGATCACAGTAGCAAGTAATTTTCAAACACCAATGATTAATTTATAAGTGGTATATAATTCAACACACCTTTCTCCAGAAAGGTCTTTCAAGTAAGGACCTCTTGGCCCCTGACAAGAAAAGAACCATCAGAGAGATGGCTGAGCTGAGTTGCAGGCATGGACAAAATAACACTGAAATCTTATCTTCTCCAAAGGAGTCCCTGACTTTCACATATGCTGGGCCACCCACCCGCCCACATTCTTAAGTTCTCCCTTCTGTTTCTATAGAACTTACTTCCCTATGCAAGGTATTCACAGAATTTTAGTCATAATTTATGCACAAAACCCACAAATGGCTACTTCATCACAGATGCTTCCTAACTGGATTTTTTTTACTGTGTCAGGTTGTGTTTTGATTTGACAGACAAACACTTAGGAAAACAGTCTACTGCATTATGTTGCAAGCAACCTTTGGTGCTGTGTTAAGGAATTACACCATTGTAGAGGTTTGCAGGGAAAATCACTGGGTTTCTGTACATGTTCACCCTATGGTGGAGTCATCATGATGATGTTTCTGATGGGATGGATCTATGCTTACTGGTTAAATCAATTCCTGAGTTCTAACCTCTGTCTAGGTCATTGCATGAGTCACTATTGGTACATAGGGAAAGTAGCTGAATACAAACAAATCCTATTGCTTCTGCTTACTGTGGTTTTAGAGACTTCTTTTGTATTCTGTGAACCATTCTTTTCCCTGGTGCTAAAGTCTGTTTCTAGTACTACAGATGGTGCTGCTGGAAGGTTTAGTGGTGAAAACAATGGCTCCTGAAAGGGAAGAAGCCATGTCTGGCACTTTTAGCTTGGCTGAGACCTGCTCTGGGACCTTCCACCAGCCCTTCCACTTCTCTGAGATCCTGCTATTTCTGGTCATATTCTTGAGGCTTTGAGCAACCTGATCTAGTGGAAAGTGTCCCTGCCTGTGTCGGGGGGTGTGTGGAACTAGATGATCTTTAAGGTCCTTTCCAACCCAAACCATTCTATGATTCTTTGCCTCTTTTGGAGGTGTTGAGCACAAGCTAATTGGGTACAGCTGTATTCCTTACTATGTAAGCCTTGGATCCCTGTTGGGACCTCTGTACAGCCTTACATAAAAAACGTTTAATGTTCACGTGTGGTTGGA